GGGGGGGGGGGGGGGGGTTGCATGCCTTGGACCGAAACCTTTAGTTCCTCGAGGGAGTACTGAGTTTCCGGTCCACGCCCGCACATACATGTGATGATTGTAACTTGGCCACACCTGACACCTGACAGGGAGGCGTGGCCGGCATGGGGACGGGGGCCGATGACATGGTGGCCTCGGCGCACGCCATGTCGATCGGGGTCGGGGAAGTTATCGGGCCGATGATTGGGGGCTTCGTGGTGGACCTCTTGCCCACGTCGCCGGTGAGTCTTCCGTCGTTGTTGAAGATGTTACGGCGCTTGCTTGGTTTCTGGTGTTTACGTAAGGCCCTTGATGGTTGCACTTTTGAACCTTGAGTTTATTTTGTATGTCGTTGTTGGTGTGAGAGTTGCTCTGCCTCCTTCTCTGATGAGTGCGCTGTTTTGTATCGAAGCTAAATTTCTCTTGCTTGTGCTCGAAAGAAAGAAAAAAGAATGAACCACTGTACTGTACCCGACAACAATGTGTATCTTCCCCCCTTCTCTGACAATCTTTATGTTTGTCTCGAAAATTGACATAGCTTGCATGTGCTTGTAAAATTTATTGCCGACAGAAATTTTGGTCTTCCGCTCTCTTTGACGATCGTTCCTTCTGTCTTGGAAAAAAAAAGGCGTTTGCTTGCGAGCCGAACGTGCCCATCGTGCAGCTGCACGACCCAATCTTTCAGCTAGCCGGAGAGATACGACCGCACCTCAGCAGCAGCAGCCGCAGCAGCAGCAGCAGCGGCGGCGGCGGCGGCGGCGGCGGCGGCGAGCAAGGACAACAAGAGCTTTCCGAGGACGCCGAAGCTGTATATTCTCCCGCGATTTCTTCGGCAGATATCGCGGCTGATGCCAGGCAAGGAGAGGACCTTGGCAGTGCCGAAACGAAACAGGGGGAGGATGTCGTATGGGTTACGAGACAAGAGGAGAATAACAAGTCTCGCCTGTTAACATTGCATGACGGGGAGGGGCACGGGCAGGGGCAGGGGAGGGCGGAGGAGGAAGATTGGATCACCGTGGAATTCCGGCAAGGGGGGCCAAGCACCGGCAGATTATTGGGCGAAGATAGCCACGAGGATGATGGGGTTTCAAGGATGCTACTAGCAGAGGAGGAGGAGGAGGAGAAGGAGGAGAAGCGGGCCCGTGGGAAGCTGCGGCAGGGCCAACCGGACGATTCTAGCAGCACAAGGTCGGCGTTCAAACCAGCGGAAGCAGCAGAAAGAAGAAGGGACGCCGGCGGTAGAGACGGGGAGCGGAAGCTCGGGCAGCAGCAGCAGCAGCAGCGGCGGGAGAGACGGGCCTTGCTTGAGAGGGGAAGGGGACGAAGGGCCCGCCGAGGCCGTCATCGCATCCGGTCAAAACGGGAGAACGACGCCGCCGCCGCCGCCGCCGCCGTCACGTCTTCGAAGGGCGGTGAAGAAGAAGAAGACCCTCATGGTATGGTTGCTGTAGCTGCCGCTGCTGCTGCCGGCTTGGACGGGGCGGGTGGGCTGGGCGGCTCCCGGGGTGGGGCCGGGCTACCAATAGAGATGGGCAGCGGCGAAAACGATGTCGAATATCTCCCCGTCGTGGGTCAGGCGTTGACCGGGGCGGGGGCGGCGGCGGCGGCGGCGGCGGCGCAGAGTGTCGGTGCCGTCGATGGTCTTGGAGACGGGGGCGGAGCGGGGTCGTGCGACAGCGCCTTCCCGTTGGCGACGACCTTGTTGGCCTGGGCTTCGGGATTCGCCGTCCTGGCCATGTATCGGTTGTTGCCCTCGCCGGCCGGGGGTGTTGGCGGTGTTGGCGGCGGCGTTGGCGGTAAGGCGGCGCACGGGGTGGTGGTTCTGCCAGCGTGACACAAAACATCATAATTGTCAACAATGTTTATTTTGACTTTTTTTTTTTTTTTCCCCGGTATGTATATACGGGCCGAGGAATTGTTTTCTCTTGTCTCTCTTCTTTGCAGCACGTTTGTTTTTGTGTGTCGTCTTGTTTTTGTTTACTTCTGGCCCTCGCGCAGCAGTAAGTGGCCTTCGTGCGTCATACGTTGGATACGACCCCCCCCCCCCCCCCCCCCCCCCCCCCCCCCCCCCCCCCCCCCCCCCCCCCCCCCCCCCCCCCCCCCCCCCCCCCCCNCCCCCGCGAGAGGAATTAGTCTAGACCCCCTAGAAATTAGCTGGTTGGAGTGTATTTGTGCGTGATCTCACTCCTGCCGTCACCACGTGCGTCGAGTGTTGATAGTGGGGGAGAAACGTGGCTCGTTTTTTCGGGAACGAGCCCGCGCGCTGCGTGTTGGACCACATTTCTTCCAAGCACACGGCATGTATATCCTGTCTGGCCCCTGTTTACGCGGGTTTTGCAGCCAAGTCAGTCGGACTTGTCTCGTGTAAACCTGAGAACCCTCCGCGAGTGGTTTGTCATAGCCTGCACGAGGGGAACTTGGAAATTGACCCCCAGGTGTGCATCCCTCTTCCATTTTGCGATGATGTTGTCGTTCGTCTACAGTACGCGTTACCTCTCGTGTTGCCCGAGGTCCGCTTGTTGTTCTCTCTGAGGCAACCCAGCATTGATTACTCCGCATTGTAGGCTTGTTGCTTAAGCACCTGTTGCGGTAAAATTCTTAAAAATTACTTCATATTGATTTGTTGTTTTCTAGCCTGTACTACTTCGTAACTCTCAGGTTTGTTGGGTAGTGGCTGGCGCGTACCATGGGGAATATTCCTCTGGTAGCCCTTGTCCAAACGGGAAGGTACTTGGAGTGTCACAGAGGCAGAGCGTGGGGCGGGAATCTGGCGCCCTCGGGATTATTTCATGAAGCACCACTTTTATTTTTTTTTCACGTTTTGTGCGTTTTCTGTTTTCTGTATTTTGTACCAGCAGTTTTGTCGTGCCAACCGGGTAAATATCAGTCAATAGGGCGTCCCTTCAACTGTGTCCGCTTTTGGCCATGTTTTTTGCTTAGAACTAGTTGGTCTCATTACGAGCGGCTATGTATCTGCACTCGTTCTATGAAGTAGCTCGTGTTCGTTGCAGTTGCCAGGCATTATCTACGGGGATATACATGTTGATGCCTTGCGGTCGGTAACAATCGACCGCGTACCCTTAGCTAGCTGGCAGCTTGCGTTGGGTCTGCCCTTTGGTTGTGCCTGCCAGTTTAATATTGTAAGGCTGCAAACCAGTTGCTGCCGTATTGGGATGGGTTTGTATGCCTACACGTCCCCAAGAAATGTGTGAAGACAACAGACACGAACCGGTAGGAAGCATGTGAAACAAGTGTAACAATATTTAAATTGTGTTCCCTTGCACCATCGAGCGAGGCAGACTTTGTCGGGTGAAGTGTGCGTACGGTTGCTGAATGTGGCTCCTTCCTTTTGACAAATAGTCTAGATACATTGACTGACCTTTCGGTATATGTGTGCGTGAGTTGGACACTGCGGGGCCCCGCCCCTGGCACATGAATGAGCCCCCCCGTGCTCTGTTTGACGCTTGTTTTGAAGTCGGCAGTGTTTAGTGTTGGTCTGGTGGGTCTGCAGAAAATGTGAAACGGCCGTTTGTTTGCGGTATTCGTCGCGCTCAAGACATGCGTATGTGCCTGGACGATGAACAAAGAAGTTCCACCTCATCTTCTTGACTTTGCACCCCGTCGGTTAACCCATCGGGACTGCCGTCTGTCATTCCTGTGCCGTATTTTTCCAACAACCGGAGAAACCGCGGTGCTTCACGGTTCCCCGTCTATCCGTCAAAAAGTGGCCTTACTGTTCCTGCTCAAATGGCTGCCGCGCATGGATACGATGGTCACGGCCGATCATCGATGGCCCCCTGTCTTTCCCCCCCCTTCGTCTCGTAGGCATTCGAACGTCGCGTGGGTTTTGAGTCAGCAACGGAAATAAATGTTGTTCCCTTTCCTTCATTTCACATTGGTTGATGGATGGGCTCTCTTCTCGAGTCTTGGACAATCCTTCGTATCACCACCAGCTCCAATCAAACTTGACCCGACACTTTCATACCCCCTCCGCGGACAAAAAGGAATGGGCTTCAGACGAGGCCGGGGCTGCCCGCGGGCCAATTTTTGTTTTTTTTACTCCTCGTTTTGTCTTCCCTGCAACATCGAGTGAGGCATGTACAAACAAACGTTTGTGCGGCGTACGTACGTATCTGTAATCGAAAACGGTGTTGTGGAAATAGTTAGCGTTGATTGCGGGTTGGCCAAACTCAACTTCCTCTGCACCACCTGTAGTTACTGTGATGTGACGTTGGCCTTTCTTCCGACTTCTTCACGGCGAAGACGGCGATGCCACCAGCTCTTCTAAGTAACGACTGGTTTTCCCTCTTCGTTGGGATTACAGGTGACACGGCCGGGCCACGCGAGCCCAGCCCTTTCGAATCTCTCCCGACTCTACGCAGCATCGTCCCGTGTATTTAGGTAGTTCCAATGAATGCTCCACATAGTCTACATAGGCTTCCGCCCTTGCGGCTTCCAAAAGAAAGCCCGGATTTTCGTCTCTGTCACCCCGCCCCCCCGAATCCCCGGCTTTTTGTCACGTTTATGGCAGAAACCCAAGTTTGCAGCTAAAAGTATGGAGAGAAAGGTATGAGCCTGTCTTCCGTCCGTCGAAAAAACCACAAAGCATCTAGGTAATTGGAAGGGACGTCTGTCAAGAGTTTCGGAGAAAAGCGTGTGTGGTGCGTCGGGGGGGACGGAGGTGGTAGTGATTGACGTGCCGGGTGCGTGAAGTACGGAAAGCCCCATCGCTCTGCTGATCGCCGTGCAGGGAAGAGCGGGCGGTGCTGTGTTGTGGAACGGGAGCCCAGACAAACACTCAATGTTAGTATCAGCGGCGACAGACCACATCTTCGTGGTAGGCGCGCGCAAGGCCAACAACAGCAGTGGCATCGTCCTTCGGATTGCCACGACCCCCCCAAAAAGGGTACACGTAGCCGAGCTTTCATGTTTGCGTGGAGTTGCGAGGGGCAAGCGTTGGATGCCGGCGCCCGCGAGAGAGAGGCGGCCGTCGGACAAAAGAAACCGGCCACAAAAACGTGCTGCACAGCTCCGGAATCTCTTGGGCGTACATCCCGCACCAAAAGCGGCTCACACACTCTTACGCTCACTTCGTCACCTCGGAGAGAGAGGGGAGTTCTCGAGGAAAGAAAAATATTGGGTGTCTGCCGCTACGAGCAGCTATATGTTTATGTTAAAAACACGGAAGACCCTCTTCCTTTGTCACTGGACACTAGAGTCTCCGTGCGGTCGTTATCGTTGTGACACCCAGTAGTCGGGTTCAGCATCGAGGGACATGTAGGGGATGACAGACACACAAGGCGCCTTCACCCCCACACCGCCGCCACAATCGGCAGCGCAACCATTCGTCGGTGTCAGATGTCATTTTCAGTCCTGCATTTAACCGCAGAGCGACCACGAGAGAGGAATGCATCATCCCTGTTGCCCTCTCCCTTCGCCGAACCTCCCCATAGTAGTCAGAACAACCCTCCCCCCCCCCTCTCGGAAGCAACAAGAGTCAGAGGCCCACCACACACCCACAAAAATCGTGAGACCGTGCGCGTGCGCGCCCAACAGCCTGTCATCACCAAGTCTCAAAAACAAAAGACCCAACATCTCCGCAAGGAGGCGCACGTCTTGTTCAGAAAAAAGCGGCGGTACATGACAGGACACAAGAGACGAGGCCGTCATCTTGCCCGTCTTCCCTCCGAGGGGGAATACTAGTCGCGAGAAAATCTACCGGTTAGCCTTGGCCACGCGCTCGATCTCGTCCTTCTTCTTGATGGCGTAGGAGTTCGACGACCCGCGGGCGGCGTTGATGATCTCGTCGGCGAGGCACTCGGCGATGGTCTTGATGTTGCGGAAGGACGACTCGCGTGCACCGGTGGTGATCAGGTACAGAGCCTGACAATAGTAAGATACGGCCGCAGAAGGACGAGGGAAAAGGAAGGGAGAGTACACCACGGGAGGGAGGTCACGTGAACCTTAACCTTGCAGCACGCGATCGTGGCACCGTCGCTACGTTGTAACGTAGGCGGTATATACCGACAAACGCAACTCCGCCATGATGGCCAGAATTGGAAAAACAGTGACGAGAGGAGGGTGACACCACGGGAAGAAACACGAGCAGTGTTTCGACAAATTCTCGTTGGTGGGCGATTCGCACACGATCATACACCGTTGTGCTGCTTGCACCAAACCTGGTGCGCCAACCTAAACTCCAAACGAGAGACATCCTGCGCTCATCCCATGCGCAAGTACAACAAAAAACACGCGCTGGCCACAAAAGAGGACATGTCATTACAGTACGAGGCCACAGCACGACAAAACACGCCGATTCGACGATGGACACCGTCTGTCTCTCTATATACATGACATATATATAATATATATAAACACAGCACGGGCGCCATATGGCACACGTGGTACCGTACTGGTACAAACGTAAAATACCTGGTTTACGCGGCGGAAAGGCGAGAGGTCCACGGCCTGGCGCCGCACAACGCCGGCGGATCCCACGCGCGTGGAGTCTTCCCGGGGTCCCGAGTTGATCACAGCGTCCACGAGCACCTTCGAGGCGGTAAAACGGTTCAGGATTCCGAGATTCAAGCACCGAGCGACGGAAGCAAGTGTTAGAACGTGCGTGTTTCGTACTGGGGATTGGATGTTATGAAGGTGGCGCTTTTTAAGCTTCGGGTTAACGTTAATGACGACAACGAGGATGATGAAGATGCGACGCTTGAAACTTGGCGCGCCTTCTGCTGTCTCGAGAGACGCATTATTGGTCCTCAAGTCGGCGAACAAAAGAAAGAGGTGCTGCTATGCAACCTTCTGTAAGCGCAATCACTTCGTTTGTTCAGGACTTGACGGCCTCGGGAGAAGGATGAACGATTGCGTCTGTTCTATTTTAGATCTGACGCGCCAGGGGGGCAACCACCTTCACACGCAACCGGGTCCGAAACGTCGGAGTTGATGGAATATACTTCGTATTTGGGGGGTGCTGTTGTTCATCAAAACCTGTCGCAAACGGCATGCGCGGACCGGACCGTGAGAAAAGGAAAACGCCTTTTCACACCGTAGTCTTTGTCACCTAAACTAGAAAGGGTTCATATTGTTCCCACATCAAAACCATAAACAGAGTGCAACGGCTGCTTTATGTCGGCCGCGTGAGACTTGCTCCCGTTGCTCTGATTGGGACGTCCTTCTAAAGCATTACATGAAAGCTCTCGGTGACAACGTACTATCTTTGCCTCGGCACCGTGGGCCAACGCCACTCCTCCTACAACGGCACTACAGTGAGTGGCACTAGACCACTAACTAAGGTGACGGGCAGAGGAACATGGTTCTTGAGCAAGCTCATGGCTTTAAGTGCGAGCTTGAAACTCCATCCTGCAAATGGTTCCCCACCAGCTTGGCTACACACTCGCAGTGGCTGCTCGAACCGCCGTCACAATTCTATCGCAATGCGATGGGAGAAAACGACGGTTGCGTGGTTGCACACGGATCTACAGCTGCGTCGTTGCACGTGCAGATTGCTAAGCGACAAATTAAATATTCCACGTGCCTGCAAAAAGAAGAAAGGCCGTGAAAAAGAATCCTGCGTTGGCCAAACTTTCCTCCTGTGTGATCCCCAGCTGGTGCGTTCACGAATGCTGTACCAAAAAGGTGTAAGGACCGCGGTATTGGTTTTTAGGTCGTCCCTCTTATTCTGGACATCAGCCCTTGCACCTAAAGCCATTCTTTTCTGGACGTCAGTCCTTTGCGCGCTAGTAACGTGCAAGGATTGACGTCCAAAACGACAGCGATTACAAAACAAAAACACCATCGTGAAAGGACTCACGTCCAGAAAAACAGGAATGACAGAGGAAGAGAGGCACCCAAGTGTAAGGATTGATGTCAGAAAACCAAGGGATGACCTAAAATAAGCAAAAATGCTGATACTCACCTGGACGGGGTTCTGGTCGGTGAGGAGGTGGATGATCTCCAGGGTGTGCTTGACGATGCGGGCCGCCATGAGCTTCTTGCCGCTGTTGCGGCCCTTGCGCATCAAGGCGCAGCAAAGGCGCTCCACGATGGGGCACTGGTTGACGTCCATGTCGATGGTGCGATCGGAACAAGCACACACGTTTCTAGTCAGCCGGACAGCGGTGAAAATTACCGTTGACATTTGTGGGTTGGGTTTTGTTTCTTGCCACAATCCATACCATGGACTTTGATTCTTCGGGCACATCGTCCATTGAGCAGTGCGAACCGGTGAAGGGATCAACACAGTCAAGTACCGCCATAGCAAGAGCACGGGGAATAGATTGGAGAACCACAAAACGTAGGCCGTAAAGGCGGCAGCAACACTATCCCATCGAACTGAGACACAAGCCAGAGGGTCTAAACAGAGGGGGGTGGCTGCGCAGCAAAGGATAGTGCAGTTGTAGGTGACCCTGACTGCCGACATAATGGTTGAACCTGAAACGACGAAATCATAACATGACGCCGCAACTGAACCCACGCGGGATTGACTTGACGCTTCAGTACCGCAAAGCCAAGCACCACACAGCAAGATACGCCCGGGATTGAGCGGCCAGCAACGAAGGTAGGATGGGCAAAAAAGCATCAAGGCCAAGCACCATTAACCAAGAAACACTGGGGATTGATCGGCCAGCAACGAAGGGAGGACTGACAAAAAAGCCGCAACGCCAAGCACCATAAACCAAGAGAGACCGGGGATTAAAGAGGCAAAAGGAGGATCAACACGAAAGACCAGGAATTGGTAAGCCTGCCGTTGACGCTATGTATTCATAATTAATCTTCTCCTTTCTGTAGATAAAAATGGATTCAATGCGCCACTAAAAAAAAGTCGACGGGCACGCAGGAACTACCATTTTACTCACGGTGGCCTTGCGGAAGCGCTTCTTCTGGTAGCGGCCGGCCGTGTGGGGAAGGTAGGTGGCGTACTTGCCCTTCACCGCGATGTAGTCCTCCAGGGAGATGTCGCGGATCTCGATGTCGTCGAAACTCCTGGTGAAACACAGAACGCGCAGTGATACAGAGGTACCAAGAATTGGAGAAAACTGGTTGAGCGTTGCGGGCGGCGAGCCAAAACATGGAAACGGTTTGCGGATTCCTCAAGCTGTAAGACGAGAAGGAATGCGGATTGTCCCACCCATGCCTTACGGTTTCCACGTTTGCATCGTCGCAAGGAGGGGGAGTCAAATGGCCAACGCGCCGTAAAAAGGTAAGAGACATCAACGGAGACAGGGGGGGGGGGGG